CATGGCAAGGCATTTATGCAAGCATACAAGCATGCATATGGCAATGCAAACTAATGCTAAGATGGTCTTATACATGAATTAGGCAACTCTAGTAAGGCCTAAAACAGTGGCCATAATGATCAAAACAAGAAGCCAAAACACATGCACACATACACATGATGGAAGGCCAACACTTAAGCATGAATCAAGCAACATTCAAGCACACTTGAAAGGAGGAATCATGGACTAATTAGCATGCAACATGAGCCCTAAAATTATGTTATAAAATGATGCCAAATCAAGTTATAAATCAAGCCAAAACATGCAAAGAGTAGTCCAAGTATTCAAGGTAAATCAATGATGCATTGAATTACACTTATCATGACCAAACATGGCATGCATTAAACAACTAAAAACAGATTTTTAGAATGTTAAAACATGGCCAAAGGACTCCTTAGATGGCATCTAAGTGGCCTAAATACAAAGGCATACACCATGGCCAAAGCATGGAGCATTGCAACACATGCTTTCAAAGCATTAAAGAGACATGCAAGGCAATCAAACAAGCATGGAAATATGAACAACAAGCATGGAAATGGGACTGAAATAGCATGTAGGATGATTCCAAATCACCAAAACAATGCAAAGATGGCATGCTACACATGCACATACTCAAGGCCAACAAGCCCAAATACAAAGGAGCTATATAATGCATGCAAAGATCAACCCAAACGATTATGGACAGAGCTAAAACATGTCAAAATAAGCACATAATCTTCACAAATACAAGCCTAAAACATGCTCCAACAAAGGCTAACAACCTAGAACATGTTAAGGCATAAACATGGCATTACATGGAAACTATGCTAAACATGCATGGAGTTCCCAAAACCAACTTGAAATCATGTTATATCATGGATATATAAGCATGAAAAACAAACCAATTATGCTCAACACACACTCAAGCATAGGCTTCCTTAAGGGGCCAAAATAGGTCCTTTTCAAGGACAACAAGGAGAGGGGGTGGCCCTCTCCTTTTTGGAACTTCAAAGCATCATCTTCACCACTGAAATCCCTCAAGATTTCAGTGGTGAAGAGACCTCAACACCAAAATCCCGGAGCTAGCACAAAATGGCTCAAAATGAGGCCTTTTGAGGCCTAAGGGTGGTCAACAACCCTCAAACAACAAAACACTCTTAATAAAAAATAAAGAGGGCCTAAAAACAGAACTTTTTTATGTTATACAATAATCACAAAAACAGCTCTAAGACAGGTGGAAAATCAATGCAAAAATGGGGGAAAAAGGGACTAGTTTCTCACCCTTGATGCCTTCTTCAACAAAGATGCTCCAATGGCCTAAAGTAATACACACACATATACATGCACCCAAATTTTTGAAATACAACATAGAATATTATACTCCCTTAAAAAGGTGCAAAAATAAATAAATAAATAAATAAATAAATAAATAAATAAATAAACTCTCTTGCCATATTACACATAAATGTTAAAATGTCAAGTCTCTAAAATTTTTTGTTTAATTAGGAACTCTAGATATTAAAAAAAAATTATGAAAAATATTTATCATTTGTACAACACAGAGCACTAAAATATTTATAAAAAAATATTCAAAAAAAATTGATAAAAATATTTATCATCTGTACAAAAAAAAACATAAACTCTCTTGCCATATTACACATAAATGTTAAAATGCCAAGTTTTTCAAATTTTTCTTTTAATTAGGAACTCTAGATATTCACAAAAAAATTAAATGAAAAATATTTATCATCTATACATTAGAATTACACAGCAAATAAATATTACATTTGAATGGTACAACTAAATAAATATATTACAACCAGCCGGTGGCATCTAGCCACTGCCGGTGATGGGTGGGGATGGTCTACAAGCCCCACCTTGCCTCTCAAAGGCAAGATGCAAGTGTTTGGTGCAAAACCAGACACTAAACGGTCGAGTTCGGGGATTCTGAGGCAAGGCGCGCGAGCCGAGACCTCCGGGAACTCCAAACGAACACAAACATGGATAATCACCGAGTGTTCAAACGGTGACGTCCAAGTCTTGAGGACGGTAAAAAATGGGGTGTCTACACATACCAGTCTCTCGCCACAGTAGAGCCATACCCCTGCACATTGCGGGAAGTCACCTGCATTCAGAATGAATAGGTGTTTCAGAGTTAAGAATAAGCTGCGTGCAAATGAAATGAATGAGCTGCGTGTTCAAAGTGTGATGTATAAGCTGCGTGCAAATAAAATGAATAAGCTGCGTGCAAATGAAATGAATGAGCTGCGTGTTCAAAGTGTGATGTATAAGCTGCGTGCAAATGAAATGAATAAGTTGCGTGCAAATAAAATGAATAGGCTCCACGCAAAGTAAAGTAAGTGGGCTGTGTGCTCTAAAAATCAGTGTTTGGACTGCGTGTTCAACTCCCAATCAGTGTGGACTGCGTGTTCACCTTTAATTTGGACTGCGTGTTCACCCTTTAATTTGGACTGCGTGTTCAGAAAATCAGTGTTTGGGCTGCGTGCTTAACTCTCAATCAGTGTGGACTGCGTGTTCACCCTCAATTTGGACGGCGCGTTCAGAAAATCAGTGTTTGGGCTGCGTGCTTGACTCTAAATCAGTGTGGACTGCTTGTTCAGAAAATCACTGTTTGGGCTGCGTGCTTGACTCTAAATCAGTGTGGACTGCGTGTTCACCCTCAATTTGGATTGCGTGTTCAGAAAATCACTGTTTGGGCTGCGTGCTTGACTCTAAATCAGTGTGGGCTGCATGTTCACCTTTAATTTGGACTGCGTGTTCAGAAAATCAGTGTTTGGGCTGCGTGCTTAACTCTCAATCAGTGTGGACTGCGTGTTCACCCTCAATTTGGACTGCGTGTTCAGAAAATCAGTGTTTGGGCTGTGTGCTTAACTCTCAATCAGTGCGGACTGCGTGTTCACCCTCAATTTAGACTGCGTGTTCAGAAAATCAGTGTGTGGGCTGCGCGTTCACCTTTAATTTGGACTGCGTGTTCAGAAAATCAGTGTTTGGGCTGCGTGCTTAACTCTCAATCAGTGTGGACTGCGTGTTCACCCTCAATTTGGACTGCGTGTTCAGAAAATCAATGTTTGGACTGCGTGTTCAACTCTCAATCAGTGTGGGCTGCGTGTTCACCTTCAATTTGGACTGTGTGTTCAGAAAATCAGTGTTTGAACTGCATGTTCAACTCCCAATCGGTGTGTGCTGTGTGTTCACAATCAATTTATGGGCTGAGTGTTCAGAAATTCAAGTGATTGAACCGTGTGTTCAGAGTGCAAACAGAATACAAGAACAGTTCATAATGCGTTACAGAAAATGTAAAAACGAAGTAAATACCTCTCGTGCCTCATGGGAGAGATGATACTCAGGCTCCCGTAGGAGGAGATCCCCGGGTGCTCGCTCGTCGAACTCGGTGAAATGATGAAAAACGGCCTGCGGAAGAACGTGTACTGGTGGATCATACCTCTCGGGTATGAAGGGACGAACCCTCGGAGGTAGAGACATGATGTCAGGCTCGCCTTCGGCACCTGGAGAACCTCCGCCATGGGGAAATTGACCCACCATTTCTAAAAAATCTGCAAAAGGGGCAAAAATGAGCAAAAATGAGCCAAAATTGGAAAAAGTCAACAAAAGTCAACTCTCGGGAAATGAAAAAGTCAACAAAAGTCAACTCCCGAGAAAATCTTTCAAATATTGAGATAAACTCACCTCAAGTGGCGAAAATGAGAAAAGAAGCCCTGAAACCAAAATTTAATCGGTTCAAAGTGTTTGAAATTGAAAGATTTCGCGATAACAACTTGCGTGGGACGTTGGAAAACGCATATAGAGCACAGATCTGAGGGAGAAAATGGTTTGGGAAGGTAGAGAGGAGGATTTCGGAGCTGCAAAAGTGAGCTCAAAGTGTTTGGGTGGATGTATTTAAAGAAAAGAGGCTAAAAGGACAAGATTGCCCCCGGATTAGGCAAAGTGGCTGGCCGGCCACTTTTTCTGGCAGGCCGGCCATTTACTTCTCAAGAACTAGCCGGCCACATCCCTATCCCAATAAAACTAGCCGGTGGTGTTCCCCACATGCCCTCCAAGGTCCCTGCAAATTTTGAGGAGGATTGGAGTCCCCGAGACCTGAAAAAGTACAAGAGAGGTGCACTTCCTGTCCCGAAATCGCTCCGCTGGGACCTCAGCTTCAGCTTCCGATGTGTGTCTCATCATTGCTCATCAAAAGTGAGATGTATCCTTTTTGAACACGTTGTAACCTCTCCGGGAGATGAACTGGAGGCCGCGATCGAGTCGCCCTTGCCGAAATGCGCATTTCCTTGCTCATTGTTTTGTGACGAACATGCATCCTGGTTTAAGCTTGTCCTACATTATCATGCGCATAACTTGCATTCTCATGCACATACTTGCATTGTTATGCATGTCTCTTTGACATCACCGAGCCTCCGTGCTTGAACTCGCGTTGTCACGCGCGTTCCTTCCCGCATTGCGATGCACTTTTCCATCGACACCACGATTGTCTGCATACGATATCGCATTGAACATATGTTGTTAGAGATGTTGTACTTGTTGAGTTTCTTCCTTTTGCAGGAACGATATTGTATGTACGGTTCATTTGAAGCTGGTGTGACCAGACGAATCGCACAGGTATCGTATCTTCTCCATGTGAGACGCGACGAGAATTGAATAATTCTCTGCATTATTAACTGCATGAAATGTAGTTGTTGCTTTGCATTCTTGCTTAAAACTGTTGCATCTATTTGCGAAATACTTGCTTCATTACAGTTTGCTGCATTTGCATGATCATCGAGTTACCTTCGGCTTCTTGCATTTTCGGTTGTATTTTGCCCCTGCCTGCGGGCATGCCTGCGGGCACATATCTTTGTTATCTTTGTATGTTTGTCTAAGTCTTCGGCCTTGTCAAAAATGGGTTGTCTCTGGGCTTTGACATTCACTCCCGTCACTTATGACTTCCGAGTTCTGTCAAAGAGGGGCAACTGTAGACATCCCATTTTTGACCGACCTTGAGACTCAGACGTCACAAGTTGAGCACTCGGTGATATTGCATGTTGTGCTTGCTCAGAAGTTTCAGAGTCTCGACTGCGAGCCTTGCCTCCGGACTTCCGGGCTCTTTTGTGCTTTACCTCGGTTTGCGAACCAGGCTCTGTTTTCTCCATTTTCTCTTACCGAAGGGAGGGAGAGGTCTCGTAGATCATCTCTCAGTGGCCGTAGGCTACGTTTCATGGTCGTAGGCCATTTCGCCCGTTTGGAGCCCGGTTTCTAGTTTTTCGGAGCCGTTGGCCGTGTGCCTCGGTTCGGGACCGCTTAACCACTTCCGTTTGCCCCGATTTTTGGAAAACATCTTATTTGCTCCCTTTTGAGGGACACTGCGGTCCGAGAGACCGACTTCGTGGTCGAACACCACTCCTGGTGCCCAACAGTCAGTTTTCGGGGCCCCGAACTGCGCGTTCCGGCTCCCGAACCTTCATTTTGCATCGATTTTGGTTCATTTTTGGCAGGGACCTCTGTTTCATTGCTAGGAAGGTCATAGAAGGATGGGAGGCTAGTAATTGTTCTGTCAGCCAACTTTATCCCTTCATCGCCCTCCGTCGCCCGTTTTTGTTCACTTCAAAGCCAATGTTGACCACCCTTGGGCCATTTTCTTGCACCCTAAACCCCATATTTGTGATGTACACATCTGGGAGGCCACCAATATTTGGTGGCCGGCCAGTAATTGTTGTTGCCCCTTTTGAACCCCTTTGAAAAGTGGGTTGTTCTCTCTCCTGGTTCACTATTTCCAGTGTTTAACCACAGGGTTGTGTTGTGCACACATCAGAGGCTACCTTTCTGTGGTGGTCGGCCATTAATTCTCATTGAACCTTTTGACCCTTGGCCGGCCGGCCATGGGAAGTAGCCGGCCGGCCACCTGCAACCTAGATAACTGGCCGGCCAGAATCCTTACAACAGGTACAGTGCAGATACAGCCTCTTTTTCCCCCCAGATTCTGTATCCGGGGGGCTACATTTTGGAGGGAAACTTGGTTGGTTTTCCCTCCATTTTCCTCCCTTTTTCCCCCCCTTTTTGCCTATATAACAGGGCCTCTAGCTTTGGTATTAGGGTTGGAAAATTTGGCCTTAAGCCCTTTGCATTGCATCTCTCTCCCTCTCTACTCCAAGCACCAAAATCCTTCAAACCCTACACCCTTTTACACTACACCTCATAGCCCCACCCTTCCATCCTTCATTCCAGAAGATGGAGGTTGTTCTTCAAGGCCTAGGAGTGCTGCATCTCAAGCCAAGAGTTGCCAAAAGTTTGGTCTACAAGGGTAAGCTCCATTTCCCCCTTTTTGGTCCATATTTTGCATAATTTTTAAGCCATATTTTCTTGCTGTTTTGGGCTCCGACCCTAACTGGAGTTAGGCTTATTTTGAGCTCCTTTTCACTTTTGTTTAAGGGCCTCTCACTGTTTGAGGCCTCCTTGTTGCACTTGCTTCATTATCTTCCTTGTATGCCATTTCCTTTTGTAGTATTTTTGGCCAATGTATAAATTGTTTTGAGGCATGTCATAAACTGTAAAGGGACTTATTTTGAGCCCTTCTTCAATGTTTTTGAAGGGCTCATCACTGTTTGAGGCTTCTATCTTCCACTTGCCTTTATATCCCTTTTTTGGCTCCATTTTTACATGATTTATTAGCCTCTTGTGCTTCTGTTTTTGGACTCTGGTCCGAACTGAAAATGGTCTTATTTTGACCCCCTCTTCATGTTTCATTAAGGATATTTTACTGTTTGAGGCATCCTTTATATACTTTGTGTTATATCTCTCTTTTTGGCCTTATTTTGCATAGCATTTTGAGCTTGTATGCATACTGTTTTGGGTCTGGCCATCAACTGTAAAGTGAAATATTTTGGGCCCCTTTTCAATATTGTTGAAGGGCCCCTTTGTGTTTAAGGCCAGAAACCACCACTTGCTTCTTTGTCCCTCTTTTGGCCCATTTCTTGCATGAGAGCTTAGCCATACCTGTGTTGGTTTTTGTGGTTTTCCATAAACTGTAAAAGGTCATATTTTGGGTCCCTATTCAACATTGTTGAAGGACCCTCAGCTGTTTGGGGCCAGAAGCTGTGACTTGCTTCATTA